CAGGCACACATAGCCATAGGCCACTAGCGTTAAGCCGGTCGGCGTGGTAGCCCAGGCACACATAGAGATAGTAATACATGTGGTTCACATGGTTCTTCGGAGCAGCAGCAGTACAAATGTCTTGGCGATAGATCTGCTTTGTGGGGGGTGTCTTGTCTTTCCTTGTCTGTTCATCTTCATGTGTGTGGATATATGCATGTCCACTGATGCAGCAGTTTATCCTTCAATTCAGTGGCATGCATATATTGGCTTGCATTGTTTTGTGTACCGTGTCTCCTGCTTTGTGGGGGGTTATTCATTTGTGTTATATGTGCAGCAGCAGTATTTCTTACATGCTTACAGCAGCATGTTGTGGATGTATTGGCAGTAGCAAGTCTCAGTACTTGCTCTGCCGCAGCAGCAGCGTATCAGATCTATTCCGCCAATACCAAATACATTAACATTGTCATGTACATTACCATGCCAATCCCTCCGAGAGTTGTCATGACAGAAATGATTATTATTAGTAGTAGTAGTAGTATTTTTGTTCTTGTATGTAATGCATTTTTATTATCATAATATTTATTTCATAATAAATAATAATTTCTGTTTACCAGTTATCTGACCACAAAAATAATTTGAATCAGTATTCATCATAACCAAAGCAATTTTGGTTGACTGTATGAATGTATAGACACAAATTTTGGTTGTCTGTATCGTACATATATCTCTCTAGTCTGTTGCAGATTATTTTTTTTAATAACCATATTTTTTTCTCCAAGGTTTTTTTTTTTCCTTTCCTCATCAATATCAGTGATTTAGTTCACTTGATTTATGTCTTAGCATAGCTAAAGCTCGCCAGCTCTTTAATAATTGCAGAGTTGTAGAGTCAGTGAAGGTTTCGCATCGCTGCTTTTGCCTCTTCGATCTTCTACTGATTCCCCATTGACTTTGTACATATTCATGTGTGCAGGGAGACGATTTCACAAGACTCAGAAGTGAACTTCTGAAGTGTCTTGGGGAGTTTTTTTTGTGGGTATTTTTGACCCACTTTTTTGTTTTACACATGTCAGTCCAATTCACGGCCGAGCAAAAGGATATACTCAGGCTTTACCATTTATATCAATGGATCTGACCGGTTTTACCATGGATCTTACAATGTTTACCTGAAGTTTTCTCCTACTTTCTCAACC